AAGTCAATGTTAAGGGATAGGACATTAAATTACGACAATGAGTATAGGCATTTTACAATAGCTAGAACAACTATTCGAAGAATGTAGGAGGAGGGATGCATGTAGGGGAGAGTTGAGCAAACCTGGAAACCATTGACTATGCATATACCATGGAATAAGAGTTGAGACCAACCCGTTGATTCATGGTTATGTCAAAACAAAACCCTTTGGCAATCTTCTCCCATATACCATTTTGGTATATGAAATTTCAATGAGAATAATAGTATGCGCTCTCAGGGCACGGATCAGTTCATTTATTGCGTACCCGTTTTCTCATTCATAAACTTGATTTTTCGACTATGGGCATTGACAACAATTCCACGACTAGTAGCATCAGGATTTTCAAGTCCACGGAAGTCAAGCACGAATCATGTAATTTTTCCACATCAACCTTTTTGTATTGCAGAACTATCAATTAGGCTGAAAGATGGTCTTTTATAAGACCGAAACATGTCCCTTATGATTGTGTAACAACACCATTGAAATTTGTGGAGATGACTTCGAGCATTCCTTTCTTCCTTTGGTAGAAAATTTCACCTAAAATCAATGATTAACTGATTCTAAATCCACAATTTATCTCAAAATCAGGGTTGAATTTTCAGCACAAATCGACAAATAAATGATGAATGTGTCAAGCTGTCAGGAATGAATCTTGTTCAGAGACTCAAGTGAATGAAGTGCATATAACTCGCTATATAAAAGATTGACCAGCCAAATATTCTTGTTGAGGAGACCAAAGAAGTCTGTTAGTATATACAGTGTGTCCCAGATTCGCTTCTCTATACAGGGATCTCGGCTCCTATTATACCTACAGCAGAGGTTGAATGTGGACAGTTTTGGAGGAATCTTAGTGCATTCGATAACCGGCTTCAGATTTACGATCGGATAATTGGTTTTGGAAATATCGGCGATAAATCGAAAAAGACGGATTTCGTTTTTCGCCTGTAAATCCGAAACGGTTAATTTGACAGCTGTCAAAATGTCACATTATCTGGACACTTTCATAAGACGAATGAGATAGCATGCATGACATGTCACGATCGTATTCTGTTATCCCGCAAGCCGCCTCAACTTTAATTTTTCTAATGGCCGCCATATTGGAATTTTCGATTTTTGGAAAGAGCGTGAAATTACCAGTCTGATGATGTCTCACAAATACATAAAAGTTTTGAGTTTCATCAACATATCACACTTCGTAAAGTAAGGTCTTTATTTTTTAAAGGAGGCCATGATTTACTTGTCAGAAAATTGGGTTTTTATAAGTAACACTTTTTCCATCTAAGGATGCTCTGAGTTTGACATTGAATAGTTCAAAGCATCAAAGTTGTGTTTTAATAAAGGGTTCTTGTAATCTGACACACAAATTGTTTCAATTTGTTGAAAATGGCCGGTATTCCCTATTCGAATGAAGGAAAGTTTGACATGTCAGCGCTGTACTTGCAGTCACGCAGAAACGCCGACATAACTTCAGCAAGGTATTTGATGTACCCCGAACGACGGTAGCCTCATGAAACCCAATTTAATCAACCATGGGGCCTTCGAACAACCTAGAAGTAGATACAATATTGAAAATGAAAATCGCGACAGAAACATTTTACAAACTGTCAACGAAAACTCCAGAGCATCGGTACGAACTGTAGAACGGGAAATTGGTGTGTCAAAATCAACGGTACAGAGAGTGTTGAATAAGAATAAGTTCCATTCATACAAACTCACAATAATTCAAGGACTTGAGGAAACTGATTTTCCAAGACGAATGCGCTTCTGTGAGTGGTATACTAGGAGGTGTAATGAAAATCCCGATTTTGTAAATCATGTCTTGTGGTCCGATGAGAGTAGGTTTACGAATGGTGGAGTTTTTAATAAGCACAACATTCATCATTGGGCTGTGGAAAACCCTCACGAAGTGGCAGAGAGACGTCTACAGACTAGATTTGGAAGTAACTTTTGGTGTTTTGTCATTGGTAATTTGATCTAACTTTGCTTTTTCAATTGGGCACCTGCTATAAATTATTAATCATTTCAGGAAATCGACTTATAGGACCATTTGTGTTTGAATACAACCTAAACGGACAGAGGTACCTAGAGCTTTGCGAAACCAGGTTGTGCCGGCTTTACGAGCTACTATAACCGAAGATGAGTTTAGAATGACCTGGTTTCAACAGGATGGATGTCGGGCTCACAACTTATTAAGAGAGCAATTTGACGAAAGAATTATTTCTTCAAATGGTCCAATATCTTGGCCCCCTAGATCCCCTGACCTCTCATCTTTGGATTTCTACCTCTGGGGTCACACAAAGAATGAGGTCTATGAATTTGATCCTCCCGCGACCATAAAAATCCTGAGACAAAGAGTTCTGGGGACATTTGGAAATATTAACTGGAATACACTTGCTAGGGTTGTAAGAAAAACAGTCACCGATTGTCAAAAATGTCTCGATGCAAATGGACGTCATTTTGCAAATCTGTAAATCACCACTCATTTAAAAAGCAGTTAGGAACATAATAAGAGTTTACTTTACATGACATCACATTACAACTTGTGAAATATTTCTGTTGCGATTTCCATTTTCAATTTGTATCTACTTGTAGGTTGTTCAAAGCTTCAAGTGTTAATTAATGACGATGATTTTTCTGACTAGTTGGGAATTAGTCCCAAAATATCTCACTTGTTGAGAAGTCGTTATTTACGTTCATGTTCAATTGAAAACTCAATGCGTTCATGCGTTTTTTATGCGTGTTATTTTCTGACAAGTAAATCATGGCCTTCTTAGAAAAAATCAAGACCTAACTTTACGAAGTGTGATATTTCGATGAAACTCAAAACTTTTATGCACTTGTGAGACATCACTAGACTGGTAATTTTACGCTCTTTCCAAAAATTGAAAATTCCAATATGGCGGCCATGAGAAAAATGAAAGTTGAGGCGGCTTGCGGGATAACAAAATACGATCGTGACATGTCATACATACTATCTTATTCGTCTCAAAAAAGTGTTCGGATAATGTGACATTTTGAAAGCTGTCAAATTAACCGTTTCGAATTTACTGGCGAAAAACGAAATCCGTCATTTTCGGTTTTTCGCCTATATTTCCAAAACCAATTATCCGATCGTAAATCTGAAGCCGATTATCGAATGCACCAAGATTCCTCTGAAACTTTCCCCATTCAACCTCTGCTGTAGGTATAATAGGAGCCGAGATCCCTGTATAGAGAAGCGAATCTGGGACACACTGTATATAATAGAAATATATAGTCCCTAGGATCTGAAGTTGAACTCCGAGGAAGTGAAAAGGAAGAACTATAGATCATCAAGAATGAACAACATAGGTTCATTTCATTATATTCAACAAAACACTCAAACACAAACACATAATCAATTCATTATATTTATATTGAAACTACAACTCGAACATCCTTTGATGAACCTGATCTCATGATGCTTCTACAGTATTTTGTTCAATCCATCACTTCGAAGGAAAAAAAAAGAGGAGAATAAAGTTGGTGGATCACGGGATTACACAACCTTTGCCATACTAGGCCGACACGCTACCCACTGGCCATTGTGTTTTGTGCGAACCTATGTAGAAATCATTCATACAGGTCGAATAATCCTCATCATACGAATTACATGTTACATCGCATCCTTTCGAGTACTATTGAATTCGTGCCGGTAGTTCGTCTCTGTCGACATGATGCATGTACACACGAATTGTAACAAAGTAATGTAGTCTGAAGCCTTGTTTCTATGAACTTACTCATATTATTATGATAAATCTGTCAAGTGAGTCACATTGGCGGTTACTTCAGGTAAATCGATTTTAGTCAGGTGTTAATTCTTTCGGTTGCAAAAAAATAGCATGTTTTATTCTTGATAAAACTACTCAGTATGGTATCGCTAGACGTATATGACTTATACATTGTTCCACTAGATCCTGTGCGAGCTCCTGAATAAATCTCAACAAAGTGAATTGGTTTCGATTTTCTCAACAAAGTGAATTGGTTTCTATTTTCATCCTTTGTTTATTTCTAGCTATACTCTTCACAATACTATATGGCTGCCAGCAGAGTGACGTACTCTGCTCAACGTTCAAGTTCAGAGGTGAATCAGTTATTGGAAAGAGTCTATGCATCAGGAGGATCTACAAGCAGAATTCGAAATAGTGTCAGTATTACCACTCTCAGATCTCAGATTAATCTTTTAGGTAGGTAAATGGAAGTGAACCAAATTCTACCAAAATTGACTCTGGATCGGTGCCTTCATGAACTTGTTCAATCAATAAAAAAAATTGGACGATGAACATCAGTACGTTCATTGTCGGAATACCAAATAAAAGTTTAAATGTGCTTCACTTCCATGATTTCGGATAATTTTTCACACTCCAAAAGTTTGAAATTGAGTGAATATTTGTTATGAGAATTCAGTGTTTCCAGATTTCGAGCGGTGAATAAAGTAGGTATTATACTTATCAATGCAAAAACGAAACAAATTATGTTACTTTTATTATGTTATTATAAATATCTATGCCATTTGCAATATTGTCGAACGATAATGATGAAATAATGTGATGTGGTGAGAAAAAAATCTGAAAGAAATCCTTCCCTAACGGTTTCATCGAGTGATTATGTATCAATGTATCAAACAACACCCCACCTCATTCATCCCTCCAACTCTGGAAACACCCAGCAAGATAGTAATTTCAAGATGTCATGAGTATTTGTATTACCATAACCTACATTCATCATATTGTTTTTGACACTGACCACACAGACCCATCGAGGTGTTTTCTTTTCTTTTCATTCTGAAATTTGTCTCGTTATGTTTCTACAGTTACTCACCTTTTACTTCTTCGTTATTTTATAAATATTTGAAACCAATGTGAATGTTCAGTATAATAAATATAAATTCGTTTCTGAATTTTTTTTTATTCATGACTGAAAATGACCTTCAATCGAATACATCACATTATTCCATGAACTTCACCGCCTTTTCTATGATCAGCATTGCCTACTATGTAATTTGCTTCCTTCAAAAGTGTACACACAATAGATCCACCATTTCTCCTAAGTTTGTGTCCAATTGTGAAAAGTCCATTAACAACTTGCTAAAAGAGAGAAACACGAATCACTTATTGTGGAGGTTCCTACTAATGTCCTATTGTGCAATACTTAAAATGCCTATTTTATATACAGTAAGGACCTAAAGTCTGTTGTTCGTCCCCCTTCCGTAACCTCTTCATTTCACATTACAAGAAATTCAAAAAGCTCTTATAAGTTCAGCATAGGTAAGTGAAATACATTGTATTCCATTTGTGACGGTTTCCTCACTAAACAAGTGCTGAAATTATAATTTACAATTGCTCATAATTTCAAAACTATTTTCTTTGTATATAAAATAATCCATCAACTTTGTTCAAATTTCAACGCTGAATTTTATTTTTTTTTATCGATTGGAGCGCACGAAAGGGAATCCCTATAATGTTCAAAGAACATCGTGCGTTCCTAGGGAGGATAGGGACAGGAGGTAGGTATTGGAATTTTTTTTGAATTTTTGGAGATTATATGTTGTTGGGAATACTTCCACGGGCAATGAATTCCAGAGCCTAGCCGTTCTATGGATGAAGGAGTCTTGATAAAGTGCTGTTCGACATCTTTCGAGGTTGACAACGAAAGGATGTGCTGACTGGGCTTGTCTAGTTCGTCTGATTGGTATTGCTAGTGAAGGGATGATTGCAGAGATTTCCGAAGAACATTTCACGTGGAAGTATCGATAGAAAAGTGAAAGGTCGCCGACCTCGAACGATTAGCAAGATGGCGAAAAGTGATGGTTCGCCTGAAGAGCTCTCTGTAATAAATGAAGAAAATGTTAATGAAAAACCATTCAAATGTTGCCAAACAAAAGGCAGCAAGTCTCTAGTGTGTGTTAAATGTGGTAATGTGTTCCATTTGTCTTGTGCAATGAGAAACAAACTTCAATGTGTCAAAATATGCGACACCCGAATTATATGTTCAACGTGCTACCTACAAGGCGAAAATATGCGCCAGATGGAAGTCACCAAAAGTGAAATGTTGTCACGAGAAAACAGTATGCTGAAAAGAATCATATGTGAAATGGAAGATAAATACAATATTTTATTAGACAACAATAAACTACTCAGACAAAATAACACCTTGCTGGAAGAAAAAGTAAATGACCAAAGAAATGTGGAGATAAGGAATATATCAACAGAAAAACCAGTGAGCAAAAAACTGTATAATGAATCAGCAAGTAAACATCGTCCAGCTGTATCTCAAGAAAACAAAGGCAAACGCACAGTGTTGCCACCCATTTCTGTAAACAGTGAAAATGAAGATATTCATGAAAAATCGAAAAACACAGAGCAGTTGATAGAAACACAAACGAACAAAATGAAGGAACTGATTGATTTGCAGAATGATCTCAAAGAACCTGAAGATGATTTCAAAACAGTCATCTATAAAAAGAAATCTAGACCAAGGCAGATGAAGAAAAATTATGGAGACGATGTCACTGAAGAGGACTTTGGTGTCCAACGAAAAGTGTGGTTGTACCTGTACCGTCTAAAACGTCATGTTACTTGTGAACAAATTAGTTCCTACATCAAGAAAAAACCGCAATTTTGCAATGCAGATATAGTAATAAAAGAACTTCCTACACAAGAATCTCAAAACAAGTGTTTCATGTTCGGGATTGATTTAGATCAAAAAGATGAAATATATAAGCCTTCAACCTGGCCAAAATCAGTAGCCTACAGAAGGTTCGACTTCAATAAGTATAACCGTTATGATAAAAGAGAAGAGGATTTTTGAAGAAAATCTCTATGGAACCTACAATCCAAAAGAGAAATGAAACAGCCAATACACTGTCTATAGTGCATCAAAATATGCAATCCATTGGAACTGGGATTGATAGCCTAGTTGCAGTGTTGGATAAAATCAGTAATTGCCAGGTTTTATGCATGACTGAACACTGGAAAGATGAAGAAAAACTATCATTACATGTTATAAAAAACTATAAACTCAAATCCGCCTTCTGTAGAGAAGGGGTACGAAGACATGGAGGATGTGCAATATATGTGAAAGAAGGAATGAAATGCAAGGAAAGGAGAGAAGCAGTATCGTTATCCGTGGAAGATCATGTTGAATTTTCAGCTATTGAAATCAAGCACAGGACAAGTACAAGTAAAGTAATAGTTGTATCAGTATATAGGCCACCTACCGGAATTTTTCAAGTTTTCCTTGAAAAACTAGAAGAACTTTTGAATGTGTTCAATAATGAAACATGCAATACTGTTATTGCGGGGGACTTCAATGTAGATTTTTTAGACAACAATGTGGAAAAATTTCTCTTACTAGAATTAATCCACTCTTTTGATATATATCATGTAATAGAGGAGTATACTCGTATCACAAAAAATTCTAAATCATGCATAGATAATTTTTTAACAAACATAGAAAATGTCAAAGGCGAGGTCTTGCACTCTCACATTTCAGATCACTCAACTCAAATACTACAAATTCAGTGGCAAAACGAAACTAAAAGTATTTCAGTGTTTAGAAGAATTTTCTCACAAAAAAATATTGATAATTTTATAAACAACATAAAAATGAAAGTGTGGGATAGTATATACCACATACATGAAAGCCAGGTGAATGAACAGTGGAATCTTTTTGTAAGTATGTTTCTTGATGATTTCAATGAATGCTTTCCTGTGAGAAAAATCAAATCAAATGTTCTAAAAAGTAAACCTATTGATGACCCCCAAGTGAAAGAGTGCAAGAATCGTCTTGATATTCTTTTTACAATCAGTAAAAGAGATAAGCGCTATTATGAACAATACATACAAACCAAAAAAGAATATAACAAAAAATTGTTACAAAGCAGATCTAAAAAATATCAAAATGAAATCGCAAACTCTGATGATAAGTCAAAAACGATGTGGAATATTGTGAGAGATATTAAAGGTTCTAGTAAATCTGAGACATGTATTGAAATAGAAGGCAAAACAGAAAACATAGCTGAAGAGTATAGTAGTTTTTTAACAGATACCGTGGAAAGTTTGAAGAAGAGAATAGATAAACAAAACATACAGTTTGTGAATAGAATTATATGTAATGATAAGTCGATGTTCATAGAACCAATAACTGACATAGAAGTAGTGGAGATTGTGTGAAATTTCAAGAATAAGATGAGCAGTGGAGATGATCAAATACCAACCAAAATAATAAAATTAATTATAATATATGTATCAAAAATTCTAGCTTACATTTTAAATAATTCTTTTCAATATGGCATCTTTCCTGAAAATTTGAAAATTGCAGTAGTGAAACCAATTTATAAAAAGAAGGGTGATCCCAGTGAAATCTGCAATTATAGACCTATAAGCCTTTTACCTTCTTTCTCAAAATTATTTGAAACAGCAATGTGTAACCGCCTCATGAATTTTTTAGTGACGAGTGAGTTATTGAGTAATTCCCAGCATGGGTATCAAAAAGGAAAATCAACGACAACAGCTGTATTCCAATTTGTTCAGTATATACTAAATGCATTAGAGAACAAAAATGTAGCAATAGGTCTGTTTCTAGATCTTTCAAAAGCGTATGATTGCCTAGATCATAAAATCTTACTGGACAAACTGGAGGCATATGGAGTAAGAGGCAAGCCTTTAGAGTGGTTCAAATCATATCTTTTCAATAGAAAACAAAAAGTCTCTATTCAAAAAGACAAAGAAACTGTCACATCACAACTATCTGAAATCAACATGGGTGTGCCCCAGGGTAGCATTACTGGTCCTATTTTATTTATAGTATATCTGAATGATATGTTCGATATCCTGACAGCCCATTCTGATTGTAAATTGGTTAACTATGCTGATGATACTAACATCATGATTGAGGAGAAAGAGTTACCATCTTTGTTACAGCATTCTGATTTAGTTTTCAAAAAAATAAATAACTGGTTCTCAGAAAACAAACAATTCGTTAATGAAGAAAAAACGAATGTAGTTCTTTTCACAACTAAAAATTGCGGTTACGAGGTGCCTGGTTACATTACATTGAATGATCAAAGTATAGAAATTGCTCCTAGCACAAAATTTTTAGGTATGAATATAGACCGTTACCTGAATTGGAATATCCATGTTAACGAATTAGCAAACAAATTGAGTAAAGTGAGCTATGCGATAAGAATACTATCCAAATACTTAAATCAATTTAGTCTCAAAGTAGTGTACCATGCAAACTTCGAATCATGTTTCAGATATGGTATATTGTTCTATGGCAGCAGTAGTTGCGTAGAGCACTTATTCATTATTCAAAAAAGAATGTTAAGAATAATATACAATATGAAGTATAAGGAATCGTGTAGGAGTAAGTTCCGTTCTGCAAAAATACTAACAGTTAGTGCAGTATATATTCAAGAATGCATCTTATTCTTTGCTAAAAATAAACAGTTTTTTTCAGAGTATTCACCCCAAAACATTTATAATACCAGAAACATAAACTATGATTATCCACTGCATAGACTGGCGGTGACAGAAAGAAATGCTTTATATACTTCTCTAAAATTCTTCAACAAGTTGCCAGTAAGAATTAAATCTGTCTCTTCTCCGAATGTTTTCAAGCAAGAAATTTGGAAATTATTGATTAATTTAGAGCCATACTCCATAAATGATTATTTAGAGTCACAACTCGAATGATTTTCATATTTGTCGTTACCTGGTTGTACTAAATGGATATATGTGTGCATAATTCTTATACCTATAACCGTCTGTGTAATGGTTTACTTGTGTGTTGACGCCCGTTTGTTTCAAACACCCTTTACAGGTTGTTCATGTTTGTATTTGGTTGTTTTTTACAAATAAAGATTATTATTATTATTATTATTATTATTATTATTACCTTTCTACGGTGTTCCAATGATGTCAAAGAGTCAGTGAGTGTGGCGTCACCCACTAGGCGAATGGCTCTTCTCTGGATGGAATCTAAGAGCATCAGCGTATGTTTTGGTGCTGAACCCCATATGTGGGAACAGTATTCTAGAACAGGCTGTATCTAGAAATACATTGATATGCAGGGAATCCCAATTTGAGTGATGAGGTTCTTCCTCGCTGCGCTTAATTGAGACACTGTATAATTGAAACCATTGATAAGATCGAATGAAACCCTACAACTTAGGCATTCAACTTTTTTGTGATACGTAAAATGAAGAAGTTACGAGGGCAGCGACATACTCTTGGTCCCCACTCTATATCATGCAGAAATGGAATTCACCATCAACCACTCAGATTTGACAATGATTAAAATCAACGTTTAAAATAATGTATGCACTAGCGGGCAGTAGAGTGCAATTCACTGCCCTACTTCTCAAATTCCTCATAACGACATATTAGTTCATTATGGTTCAGCAATGGTGCGAGGAAAATGATCTTTATCTAAATGCATCGAAATGTGAAAGCATGAGTTTCATAAGAAAAAAAAGTCTATCTCATTCAATTACTACGTAAATAACACAATCTTGTCTCGATGCCAGTTGATGAAGGATTTTGCCATTTACTTCGATTGCAACTCAACATTTGGTCATCACATTTCGGCGAAAGTAAACCAAACTCTCAAATCCTATGGCTTTATAGTGATAAATTGTAAATCATTTTGAAAAATAAAATCTCTATGTTCTTTGTATATTGCGTACGTTAGATCTTATTTGGAATATGGTTCTTTTATATGGAATCCTGCCTATATATGTAACAGGTTGATGATTGCATGAACGACTTCAGAGACGATTCCTGAAATTTTTATGTTTCAAAATCGAAAATCAATATCCCGAAAGGGGCGTACCATACCAAACTTTAATATCGCGCTTTGATTTTGAAAGTCTTGACGTAAGAAGAAAGCGTGCTGACATTATACTTCTATACAAACTATTGCACTATCAAATTGATTCAAGTTATATAGTGTCTCAATTGGAATTTCTTGTTTCAAATTCTAGAACAATAAGGTACACTGAGCCGTTTCACTGTGATGGAGCCACAACAAATTTATATCTGAAGTCTCCTTTATATACCATGTGTGGAAACTTCAATAACATTTTTGTTTACAGTGAATTATATTGAACATATGGCTATTCAATATCTAAATGAAAAGATTATGTAATATGTAGCAGTTTTTTTTCCTTCTTCCTTTTATATTCCATAGATTGTAGTTTTTTCATTCGGCTATTTCTCTTTTCGCTTTTCTTCATCTATATTCGAATATTCTTGTATATTATTCATCGAAACGTTTGAAACTACACTTTGAACTCTCTTCCAAATAATTTGCCCTGTGAGTGGGTTACTGTTGGGCAATAAACGCTATTAGCGATATTATTATTATCAATATTATTATTATCAATATTATTATTAAATGCCTATATTTGCATTATCAGCTGATTCTATGATTTCCAGCGGTTCTGATTCCATCATATCTTCGCTGTTATTTCACTTACGCACCGAAAAATAGAAAAATATATAATATCACTATATTCATCTAATAACACAACTATGCATGGATTGTGTAAAACTATAATATATCAAATATTACCACTACAAAATAGTATGATACTTAGCGTATATTAGAATACAATATATTGTTGTGGTATTATTTGATGAATGTAGTGACTGACGCCTTTTTCACTAAACGTTTGGTTATCACTACCGACTATTTTTCCGAGTCTCCTTTTCTTGCTATCTGAAGCTTTCAGCCAAAAGATGACAATTCAACTTGTTCATCAGATTTATGGCAATGAATGAACTACAATGGCATCTAGTCATTATCTTTGACTCTGAAAATGAGCCACTAGTTGTTGATAACAACATTTATGTTTAACGTGTTGGAAATGCGTTTATAGCCTCCGGCGCGTAATTATTGACGCCGCAGGCCATATACGCCTACTTTATGCCACCGAACCATAAATGAGTACTATCAATACTTCATGAACCATACAACGTTTCTATGAAAAAATGAATTCGAGAAGTTCAACATATTTCACTTAATGATCAATAATTCCTTAACAACTCACTGGTTCTGTATATTTTCTCAGTTTTTCTGTTGGTAATATTTGTTTCACTTCTTCCTAGTTGATTCTCCACACAAGATTTCGATGTTGATTTTGTGCATACTTTCCGAAATGAAGGATTAACCTCAGATATTTCAACCGTTGTGTCCGTGAAGTGAGTAGATATAAATGAGTTTGGTAAATCAATGTTAGGTCAATTCATTGTACGAGTGTTTTACTCGAAGGAGCTGAGTACTGTGTTAGCAAGACATGTATCATTGGGAAATACATGGACAACTCTTGTGAAGTTTTTTTGTATTTACTATAAATTTTCATGAAATGATCCCTAAATAAATGCAAGAATATGAATTCCATATGTTTCAACGGAGAGTAATATACTTGTTCGATGAAATTTTGATCGAAATTCATGAGGAATCATCATTTCCATCGAATTTAGACTCCTTCTTGTCACAGAAAAGAAAATTATTTTGGGTTTGATGGTTTCTTCAATGAATACGAATAAAGGAATCTGAACTTGCAACACTAAATTAGTTTCATGTTCTTATAACTTCTTCAATTATTCCAACATGACAATGTCGACCGTTACAGAAAAAAAGAGACTGCCAGAAAAGTACGACAATATGAACCAGTGGTAAATGTACTTACTTCTAATGTTCCATATTCGTATTCGACTTGCATGGGAAGCAACTGATGATGAATTCTTGGAGCATCTGTAGCTTCTTTGACGTTTTCTCCGAACCATAAAACTCGCATTATCATCTGTAAATATATTGTGTTATATGCGATATCCATTTTTATACCTTAACTCAGAGCTCGTTTCGAATTCTTATGATAAATTATGTAATTTTTTCTATCGTGAAATGTTGTGAGTAGTTTATTGATATTAGAATTAGAGGAAGATGGTTTCATACGTTCGGGGCAAAGAGGCAAATCTCCATGGTATTCGAAAAGCTCTCGAGGGTAATGAAGATCCACCTCAAAAATGTAACCATACCATCAGGTAACACGGAACTCTCCGCGATATATCTGAGAAGTTATCTTCAGGATCAAAATGCGAAATCATCCTTCGAGGTGCCAAAGATCACTCAGATTTGGAATTTCTCATTATTGCGAATTCTTGGGGTTATCTATATCCCATTGCGAGCTCCTAGAGTATTCACAAACATAACCTGAATAATGGATGAATATTCCTACAAAAATATTGAGTTGTTTTGTCCAATTGCCTTTATAATTCGAATACTGGGTGTGTCAAGTTACCGTATACCGGCAATTACTCGCCTATTTGTCAAGATATGTCATTGAATAACCTTCCTAATGGCTTATGAAGAATGTGATATATTTGACAGCCCCCTGATGGTGGATACTGATCAGTTTTTATTTTCCGACCCATTAGCTGCTCACAAGATCACAGGAGCACCGGCATTGTGCCTTTTTTAAATCCATCACCATCAAATTGAACTAAATCGAATCCAAAAGGAATAAGGAGAAGAAAAAGGCTACAAAAGTGGCGTCTCAACGTAGCTGGCCCGAAAATTTTGAATAAATCGAAACGTAACACTTCCTTTGAAAATTCGAATTTCAAGTTTCCCTTTTAAAATAAATTATTATGTGTCCCAAGTCATCTGGATCTGTTGTTTTTGCATTCTTATTCTTATCTCATGAGAACTTTTTTTAGTGGAATAAAACTGTTTGTGAGTAGATAAAACTTTTTTGGTTATAGTTTATTCACAATGACCTTTCTCGTTTGGAATTTCTAGTTTTTGTGACTTTTCACACTTAAAGTCATATATTTTATAACTTGGGAGATACTCGTTGGTTTTTAAAAAATACACTTTATTTCGAGCTGAAATATATCTTTGATCGAGACTTTGATTTTGAGTGATGTTACTTAATTTTGATGTGTTCGAATCGAAAGCTCATTCTAGTCTGTTGATTCCCAGTCGTGAATATGCATTCAAGACTGTTATCTTCAGAAAATGCTGAAAATGCACCTCGCGACTTCTCTAGAATCGCGTGGGCAGATTAATCTCATATGATTATATCAAGCAGTGAATTATTTTATAAGTTCAAATGGAATGTCAGGATATAACACCTCCCCCATTAAGATTTTTTCTTAATCTGAAAAACCAATGAATGATTGAGAAAAAATTAAGAATTATTGATATTGAATTAACTTTGAAATAGTCTCGATGGAAGATTATGAAAAATACAATAATAATATATCAATACAGGGTGAGTAAATAAAATAAACATGAATACAATAAAATAGAAAAATCTTCCTTGGTTAAATCCTCTTCGGATTTCTTCTGGATGAAGATGCGATAGGGGCTGTTGGATTCTGCTGGAAAACGATTTCTTCTGATGAATCGTTGAAGGTAGATAAATGAATCGATGGCCTTCTCGAAACATTCGATCTTACGTTGCAATAGTTGAATATTTGTGGACAGCATCTTCCGGGTTGGTTTCCGTCATCTGAGTTGGATCGGCTATTGTAGTATCCCAGAAGTTTTCTTTTACAACAACATTTGAAAAGAAACCATAGGACAAGAAGAATGATGAGTACCATACAAATATACGTAAAAGTACCCAAATGTCTCTGACTGAATGATTCGTTGATCATATGGTTAAGGTTCTGGTCGTATTCATGAAGTTTCTCTTGGGCTATGTTCAGTTCATCGAGATTGAGATGATTGATCTTGATTGGCTTAAAAATTGGCAAATCATCTTTATTTGGTAGATGTTCACAACAATCATATGTGATTTCAGGAATGTATAGCTGGAGGTCTATAGTTTCATTTGCATTAAAACTTGCATATACACGTGTGGTACCAATAAATGCACTACACTTGGGTTCAAGTGTGAGAAGTGAATTTTCTCGTATGATTTCAGTTTCTGAGTTTTTGCCTGGACATGTTGTAGTAACGGGTAGTTGATCAGAAACTGTCAAGAGCCATTTGTTGTCAGCTAACTTTTGAACATTGTAGTCTTCGATTCCTAATACGACTTTTTCGCAATTAGGCATTACCTTGGAGTCCATTAAAATTGAAACTTCACAGGGTGAATCTTGTGATATAGTCTTGGGAAAGTGATTGAAGCAAATTCGAATTTGGTTTTCGATTACTTCGGAACAGTCATCGAGTTGAACTGTAATATATTGCTTACTATCTCTCGCTATTGCTGCGTATTTATAGAGAGGAATAATGGTATGGAAAAGGTTAGTTTTTGGATCTTTAGTGGGTGTTGAATAAATGTGATAAAAATCATAATCTGAATTATCTACAATTGGAATGTGTAGAATAAAAACGACTCTTTCGTTTGTCTGAAAGGCTTCGAGTTTGATTAGAGAAATGATATTCGAAATATGTTGATGTGTAGGCGGAAAAGGTAACTTTCCATGAGACAAGGCCACTGGAATTCTATTCAGTTGTTCAATTAATAAATTAGGGTGGATAACCGAAGGATGCAGGATTTTTAATCTAGCAAAAGTGATGCTGTTGATTATATCATTCAACTGATCAAGAATAATGGTATTTGATTGCATTATTTGTTCGATTTTTTCTAGAATCTGTATTTGAAGTTCCAAATAATACTTAGTTTCTCGATTTTTCATCATTTCATTCTGAATGGCTTTCAAATCTTCATTGAATGTTTTTTCATCAATATTTAATTGCATGAGCGTACTATTGAAATTTTTTATAGTACTGGAAACTATTTGAATTTGATTTTTCATAAGAAGTTGAAGATTTTTGTCATCTTTTTCAAGTTGATTTATGCATTCATTATAATATTCGCCATCAGAGGAATCTAGATTGCCTGTTATAACTTTCCATACTGAGCCTGCTGCGTTTATTAGTCCTCGTTTGAAACGACTTGGTGTTTCCAATAGAATTTCGGAAAATTTCATTTCTATTTGCTTATTAATGGTATTCAATAACGAAAGTTGAGCAGAAAATGGTATTTTAAATGAAGGGTTGATATTATTTTTGTTCAAGAGTGTCTTTAAAGAATCTTGAGCATTCTGGCTTTGTTTAAATGAGTTTTGAAATAGTGAAATATTTTTGTATACAATGATTTTCCATTCATCATTAGATATTCTGGCGATTCCTTCTTTTTGGAAGAACATACCAGTTGGTGTATGCATTTTTTCTATTCTTGCTGAGGATCTGAGGGCTCTGCCGAGGAACCTGGAATAGATGAAGCTTGCTTCAGTCTATCGAAATTCACAATAGAAGTCTTATTTTGACCTATTTCGAGTTCAGCAGTGTTTGTATTCTTTATACGAATGATTTTATAAGGACCATTATACTTATTTTTCATTCTGTTTCCTATCTGAGATTCTCGTAAATAAACATAATCTCCTTCTTTGTACTGCGGTTGATTCGGTCTTACATGTCGATCAAATCTGTCTTTAGATTTCTGTTTCGACTGACTAATGTTAGATTTGACTTTTTCGAAAATAAAAGAAGCTTGATTTTTCATGTCATTAACATAATTCGTTTGAAGTTCATCTTGGCTGAATAATGTTTCATTATCATCATCTCTGATGTGACCAAAAATTATTTCTTCAGGGGTGTACTTAGTAGAATTTGACTTGCTTCTATTATAAGATTTTATACAAAATGGAATTCCTTCTAGAATTGATTTATTTGGATTTTCTGAATGATATGCTCGCAATGAATCTAAGAGAGTTGCATGAAATCGTTCTGCTACTCCATTCGATTGAGGGTGAGCGACTGAACTATAAGTCATTTTGAATTTGTACAGTTTCGATAAATCTCTCATGTATTGATTATCGAATTCTAAACCTGAATCTGAATGTATTCTTTTGGGAATTGGATAGTGTTGAAAATATAGTAATAGTTTTTCAATGATTGTAATAGCTTGTTTGTTTTGAACTGAATAAGCTTGGGCAAATTTTGAAAAATTGTCTACAATGGTTAGTAGAATATTATTACGATTAATGTCTAGTAAATCAATGTTTATATGTTGAAATGGTTTTTCAGGAGTTTCAGTTATCACTAGAGGATAATCGGTATTTTTTCTGTTTGTTTTTTTTTGTTACAAACATCACAATTTTTTATGAAATTTTCGACATCAGCTTTGAGATTGGGCCAAACGAAACGATCTCTGATCCTACGAAATGTCTCGTTGATACCTTTATGAACTGAAGTTTTACTAGAGTGGTAATTTTCAAGAATTTCCTTCCTTTCATTTTCTGGAGGTACTTTAACAATATCATGACATATAGTGAAAGTGATATTTTCCTTATCTTTGAAAATAAAACTCAAAATGTCTAGAAATGGTATATGTTTCAATGGGTTTATGAAATAATTGACGTTTTCGGGCAATTCATCTCTTAGTGAATAAAATATTCGAAAACAATCTTTCAAGCTAATTGAATCAAGTTTCATTGTGGGTAGTTGAATAAGATAATACTTCCTTTGTTCGAATCTGATACTCTGTTTTGTCGTTAAAGTTTGTGAAAGATTTAATTGTTGATTATCAGGGTCAATGCAAGTGTCTTTAATGACTGTCAGCAAATGTGGTGTATCTTTGTTTTCATTCTGTGGGACGAGTAATATGATATTATTATGAGCAACAAAAATCAGATTATCATTTGTTTGCTTTATTATACTGAAATCAATAAGAGACTCTTTCTTTCGTTTTTCTACAAATTCATAAAATTTGTTAAGAAAATAAACTTCATTTTCGTCTTGACTCCTATCTGAAATATTTGAATCTTCGTCATTGGATGAATC